TGCACAGAGATATATTATATACTGTAAAATCAGATGACAAGTATTTGAGGAACATATTTAATGAAAATGTAGGGGATTGTCTCCCGGTGTACGGCCCAATCACCCCCCGAAGGACCCCACTGGAAATAAGTCTTATTCTAGACTTTCGTGGGCTATCCTTGGTGTTTACATCGAATAAATCCAATCCAATCCAATCCAAAAAAGAAGTCATAGGTTTACCCAAGATGCTCTATTTCTTGAACCCACTAGAGCTTCTACAGGGCCCTAAACGCATGTAGATGTGTTAGGTCAATAAACATATGGAAAAAGAGTGGTGAAAAATGTCATTTATTTTGGCTGCAGACTAAAATATTATAAAATTAAATTTAGACATAAGAAATGCAAATGTACTTTTTCAGGAGGTAAAGGCCCAAGGATTAAACTGATTGCAGCGGCCTACTTGTAATTTTACTTCAACTAGGCGAGAATTTTTTATACCTTGTTTCGCAAATTCATCTCTCGCACAAACTGATGATGTCAAATAAAAAGAAAATATTCTTTTTGTTCAATTAGTACACCCGCTGCCACGAACAATGGAAATTCCAGAAAAAAATACCTAGGTGTTTTTAAAATTTGTTATTACGCCCGCAAATGTGTGTCTAAGTCATACAGCATTCTTTATATTTCTACAGTACATTCATAGATAGTAATGGCAAACTGTTACTTTTCTACAAAGGAAAATGCCTGTATGTAGAGGCAGCCTAATAAAGGTGTAAGAAAATGTTCTGAGTTCTGTTAAATTAAATTGTAAACCAGGTTTTGTTATTGTGGCATTTGTGTCAAATTCCAATATTTAAAAAATAATAATATTGGGCATTAACATTGCACTTCAATCAAAAAACAATATTGGGAACATATAAAACTTTCGACTACTTTTTAAAGACAATGTATCATTTTTCAATCGAAACAAATTTGTATTGATGCCTAGACCAGTAAACAAAAGTCAAGCTTATTATTTATTGACTTTTCATTTGGACACTAAGGTATTAGATATTAAGACTTACTGATTGTTTACTTTTATTGATTACTTTGTTACTTGTACTGATCAGATAATACGTTCTGTAAAAAAACTATCTGATTTATGTACTGTGCAAAAACATGATATAAATGAAATGCTTTCACTGTATAATAATATTATCAAAATATTTTACCACTTTTTTGGTTTATAAATGTGCCTCCCACAATAGAATATTTTATTGTTTATATTGTACATACAGTAAAATATGTATAAAACTTGTATCGGTAACTTTGTGCACTCAATATCAGATGAAATTTAGAGAACTGGTCCAAAAATTGCTATTCTAGCCTATTTGTACATGTCTCTTTGGTTAAATGCCTGATAAAAAGGCACCTGTGAAAAATGTTAACACAGAAGCTTACTGATTTAAAATGCGATTACAAAATTAATTCAGGATGAAAATGTACAGTGTACTGTAGGTACAGCAAAAACAAGCTTGTTATGGACTGCTGGAATTGGCTGCCATATAAAATCCAACGACCTGAAACAAATAAAAATATAAGTTTGGTTACTTTGCCTGAATAAATACAATTTATTGAATGTAAACCACAAATTTTCACATCAATTTTCTGTATTTCTTAATGAAAGGTATTGTGCCTCCATTATCTCATCACATCACACCTTAATTGGCTTACTGTTCTTTCCAGTTTTCTTTTTGAAAACTGGAGAGAGGACATTGAAAGTAAGGCCTCACTCACTGACTATTCATTACTTAAAGATACAATTAAATTAGAAAATTATCTATTAGATAAATTGGATTTTGAAGGTGTATCACTGAAATTTAAAACTTCGCTCCAATACATTGCCTCTTGATAGTAGAATTTCTAGATGGTCTGAAGACAAGAATGGCTTATGTACTCTTTGCAATACAAATAATGAAGACAAAGACACTTCTTATTCTGTTTTCCCGCTCTCCTAAACATACGTTTAGAGGAGTTAAATAAACTTGAATATAAATTAAGTAGTCATAACATTGATGTTTGGGATCAATTTTAAAGTACTAATATTGATATTAAATTAAGCTACGTCCTAGGCTCCACTGCTCTTTCCATGACAAATGAAGTAGAGAAATACTTTGATGAATTTTGTAAAAGTTATGGAAAACGAGCGTGGAGAAAAAGATCTGAATAAACTTTATCGTAGATTAAGTATCTGTATTACTGTCTTTTCCTTTTTTTTGTAACTAATTAATTTTGTTTGCCTTAACATTATTGTTGAGTTTGTTGGTGGTACAGGTGGCCCTTCGAAATTTGTGACAAGCAAGGCAGGTTGTATTTCTTTGTCATGTTTTTCGGGGAGCTACTTGCCTCATCAGCAGCACTACTCACTTGTGTTTATTTCATTTTTACTTAAGAATCCCTTGTTTTGTTTCGTAATTTTTTTTTTTTTTTTTTGTATTTGTAGCTAAGAATTTTAATTCACTTTGAACGCACCAAATGATTTTGAGTGCCACCGATCTAAAGGTGTATGTTCTAATAAATGATTGATTGATTGATAACAGGATGGTGGCTATAAATTAAAATATAAGATCACAGATATTGCTTTTATCACATTGGAAATGGTAAATTATAGGCTTAAAAAGTTTGTATTTCTTTTTTTAGTCACAATTTGTACTTGTTAAAATTCTGTAAATCCTGTTTCCCACAGCAATAAGTACTTGAAAACACTACTCACGCTGCAGAATTAGGTGAAATGCTCTCTGCAAAATTGGTCAAATTACTGTTTAAATATTGCCGGTCTTAAATGAACTTTATGTCCACGATCTGTGATATAACCCTATTAAAACCATATTTGATTGCATAATGATTGAAAGATGTCTTTTACTTACAAGTTGATACTCTTTAATATAACAAACACACCGTCCCCCTCTCAATATTTTTTTAATTACAATAGGTCTGGCATAAGATTGTGTGTACCACGTTCTCGTACATCTAAGTACAGGCACTTTTATTCCAAATTCTATTTCTATTTTTAATAAGCAGGTAATTTGCCAATAATTGTGTTTATTTTTAACTTCTTTTTTGTGTGAAGTTTTTATTGGGACATATTTTTTGTGTATTTGTCTGTGCTCTAGTGTATTTTTGTGTTTTTACTGTTTTCTAGGCCAAAAAAGGAAAGCAATTTCAGAGTGTTACAAATTGGACGAATAAATAAATATATCTTACATATATCTTAAACTACTAGGCCTTGGTCTAGCCTAGTAGTCTAGCCTAGGCCTAGGTAGGCTAGGCCTAGGCCCGAGTCTAGTAGTAGGCTAGCTAGGCCTAGCCAGTTAGGGCCTAGGCCTAGCTAGCGAGCCTAGGCCTCGAGGCCAAGGCCTAGCCTAAGCCTTGCGTAAAAAAAGATAAGCCATTGTTAAGTGTTATGTTTCCATTTCCAATTAAAGCATTTGTTAAGTCTTACCTAGTTTAAATGTACGTCCGTATCGTATACACCTCAAACACTTAGATTTTTTTTAGTGTTGACGTTAATTTCACAGGAATTTACGTATGTTGACGCAAATTTACCTACATTGACGCAGATTGTTATGGTTTGACGTAAAATGACACGATACTACCTTCAAAAAAAGTTTCCCTATGCTAAAAATGGAAGAGCGAAGCCTACGTCACTGTTTTGCAAAGCCTGGCTGCTTTGCAAAGCATGGCTGACTTACGTCTCGCTGCCGGTCTGCAGCAGGATCTCTATCCCGGTCTGCAGCAGGATCTCTATCCAATTCGAGGGGAAATGACAAATTGGTGGCAGTCTTTAGTACAGTAATTGGGAATTTCCCAGACAAAAAAATAAATTATTTTTATCCAAGAACCCGTCTCATTCTCAGTGCATATTTAGGCTCGAGCTCAGTAAGCGTCGGTTACCAGAGTGTTGTTAATGTTATTGACGATTGTATGTTGGTGCATATAAAATACAGTATTTTCATCTTTTAACTTTACTACTACTCTAGGCCTAAGTTATGCTGACTATTTTTTAGTACATACTACAGTAAGTACTGACTTTACCAATACAATACCATATACCGTGTAGTTGGTGCATGGCAGTGGCGGCGCCAGCGGGGTGGCAGGGGGTTTAGGCCCCCCCGGACAGGTCAAGCCCCCCCCCGCCGGACAGAGCTCGTCGGGCAGTCAGACCATAAAACATGCCCACAACAAGCCAACACATCATATCACATGTCTGTCACAGTCTGAGAGTGCCATTTTCGGCGATCTAGAGACTAGAGGTTGATATTTTTTTTTTAAATCTCATTTGGGAGGGGAAATCCCCTCCCCAACCCCTTCTCCCAGCTCGAGCCTACGAGCTCAAGTCCCCCTGTCGGACAACTTAGCTCCTCCAAAAAATATATCCTAGATCCGCCACTGTGGTGCATGATTATTTTATAGTGTGCCATCCAACAATGGAGGTATAAACTATAACATTTTCGCCGTGGTTAGAGATACGGTACCGTATTTCTACTTCAATTTGCTAAAGGTACGGTAAATGGCATTACGTCACTGATGTATTGCCAATAAAGAACCCGAAAACTAATTCAAAGTTGTACTGTACTTTTATTGAATCACAACTAGTATCGTGAACACATAGCAACAACATTCAAAGTTATCAGATAAAAGCATGTTCAGAACAGATCCAGTACATTCCTCCACCTTTAGTTTAGAACATCTTAACTCGGAGGTTTTATTTAACAACAATAACATTCTTTGCCAGTGGGGACTTAACGTCAACGTGGCCAGTTCCTGAGAATTACAAGGCATGTCATATCATTATCTATCCATTAGTTAAAATCCATTTGGCAGGTGATTTAGAGAACACATCAATTAAACAAATGACTTTAAACACAAAGCATTTAGACCTATAAAGTCCAGTGTATAAAAAACAACTCATAACTTATGCGATTATAAGTTCCAAATAATGTTAATATACATGATAACATGCAAATAGAAAGTTCACAATTCTATCTGTCCGGTGCTTTACGAATTCTGCCTGATCTGCGAAGTTCTACCACTTTCCCTCCAGCTGTCATGGTTTCTGGTTCGATGCCTTTGTTGCAGCTGTAATCTGGCATATTACAAGAATCAGTTTGATGGTTCCCTGAATGGTGTGGTGATTTTTCAACCGGTACGTCGATTGCCATTGGCGTCATTACACAAGACGGTTTACCAACGTCCGCTGTAGTTGGCTCCACGGTTTACCAACGTCCGCTGTAGTTGGCTCCGTGACACAAGATGGTTTACCAGCATTTTCATCTGGAAAACGTTTGCGAATATGGTCGATGTGCCGACGCCATTCTCGACCATCCTCCATATGTACATTAAAGGAGACAGGACTTAACTTGTGATGAAGTACCCCTGGTAGCCACTTGGGCTTTCCAGCAAAGTTCACAACCCATACAGCATCTCCCTCATAGAATAAGCACTCGTTAGCTGTTTCTCGTTGTGCTACTGCTTTCGCCTGTTTAGTTAGTACGTCGTTCTCCATACTAGGGTAGACAAGGTCAAGACGAGACCTTGGACGTCTTTTCATGAGCAGTTCTGCAGGTGACTGTCCAGTCGTAGTCTGTGGTGTTAGTCTATACTGCGCTAGGAATCGGTATAACCTTGATTCCAAGTCACCAATTTGAGTCTTTGTTAATCCTTCTTTCACCGTTTGCGCAGCTCGCTCAGCCAACCCGTTGCTTGCTGGGTGATACGGTGAGCTGCAAGTATGCTTGATTCCATTCTGTTTGCAAAAAGTCTGGAACTCTTGGCTGGTGAAGGAGGTACCATTATCTGATACCAAGTTACATGGTACGCCATGTGTTGCAAAAGTTTGACGTAACTTAATTAACGTGGCTGAAGTGGTACTAGATGACATGATATGAGCATCAATGTACTTGCTGTGTGCGTCTGCTATCACCAGTATCATTTTGCCTTCAAACGGTCCGGCATAATCTATGTGTATCCGGTACCAAGGGTTTCCTGGCCATTCCCATGGGTGCAGACTTGCCCTTGACGGTACTTTACCATTCTGTTGACAAACAGAGCATCCTCGAACTGTGGTTTCAATGTCTAGGTCTAGTCCAGGCCACCATAAGTAGCTACGTGCGAGGGCCTTCATTCGCACCATTCCAGGATGACTGTTATGCAATTCTGCTAAGAGTCTTTCCCGACCCTGAACTGGAATTATCACTCTTGAGCCCCAAAGTACACAGCCTTTCTGCACAGATAGTTCATTCTTCCGGCGATGAAAAGGTCTATATTCCTCTCCTACCTGAGAAGGCCAATCTTGAAGTATAAACCTGACGACGGCTGATAACACTGGGTCTCCAGCCGTCCATTTGGCCACTAGTGATGCTGTAACTGGGGTGCCGTCTAACAAAGCCATCGCAAACACTACTTCCTCTGGTACAGGAACTGTAGTCGGTGATGTTGCCAATGGTAGTCTGCTAAGACCATCGGCGTTACCATTCTGAGCTCCGGGCCTATACTGCAAAGTGTAGCTATAGTTTGCCAGTTTCAGCACCCAACGTTGAATTCGTGCACTTGCCATAGGGGAAACAAGTCGATCTTCCTTGAGTAGTCCCAGCAACGGTTTATGGTCTGTCTGGATGATGAAATCCCTACCATAAATGTACTTGTGGAACTTGGTAATTCCAAAAATAATAGATAGTCCTTCTCTCTCCAGGTGTGCATAATTTTTTTCCGCCTTCGACAGAGACCGTGAGGCAAATGCCACCGCCTTTTCAGCTCCATCTGGCATGCGATGCGATAGCACTGCACCTACCCCATAAGGAGATGCATCGCAACTGAGTATCAGTGGCAACGTTGGGTTATAATGCACAATGACTTGTGATGATTGCAACATTTTCTTTGACATTTCGAAAGCTTCCTGCTGTTTTGGACCCCACATCCATTGAACTTCCTTACGAAGCAGATTGTTGAGAGGTGCCAGAACCGTGCTCAGGTTCTGTAAGAATCGATGATAATAATTTATCATACCTAAGTAGCTTTTCAGCTCGGATGCGTTCATTGGAACCGGTGCCTCTGCCAGTGCATTTACTTTTTCTTGAGTCGGATGTATTCCTTCTGCATCTAGTTTATGCCCCAGATAGACACATGACTCTTGCATGAAAGTACACTTCTCCTGTTTTAGTCGAAGTCCAGCATTCTGAAGTCTAGTCAGGACTAGAATCAAGTTTGCGTTGGCCTCTTCCCATGAAGATCCAGTTACTAACACATCATCCAAGTACACTGCTATCCTTGGAATTCCTTGAAAGATTTGTTCCATTAAGCGTTAGAAGATTCCGGGTGCTGATGCAATACCATAACACAGTCTGGTATAAGCAAAGAGTCCCTTTGTTGTGTTAATTGTAGTTAGTTTCTGCGAGTCTTCCTCAAGTTTTATCTGTTGATATGCATGACTGAGGTCTAATTTGGAGTAATACTTCCCTCCTGCTAACTTAGTGTATAAGTCTTCGATGTTCGGAATAGGATATCTG